ACACACACATAAATACATACACACACATAAATACATACACACACATAAATGTGTATATAAATGTGTATATGAATACAAAATAAAAATTGCTACAGGATTTCATGATGACACAAAACAAAAAACACTGGCTGGATCACTTATTTATTTTTATGTAACTGTGATGATGCCTCGTACTTTAAAACAATCCAAATCACTCACATAAGAGGTGGATAAAGACTCCAAATGTCCTTGAAACATTCAGAATGTTATGTAACGGTGTGAAACTCACTGCAGCCAGTTTGTCAAAGCGAGCAAAGAGCTCATTGAGCAGTTTGACCAGCTCCTGAGCGCTGCAGGACGATGACAGCTGTGTGAAGCCCACGATGTCTGCAAACAAAATACTGCCCCGCAACAAGACACAGATACAAGATGGCCCATTAGTACTTATATCATGCTACAGTCACAGAAACAGAATCATGCATGCACATTTTCACTGTTTCAACTAGTCACATTGTTACAAAGTGCTACTTAGAATCTGTGTCCAGTCTTTCACTTCAGAGAAGTGATCACTGATGAAAACTGATGACTGGCTGTTTTCTAGTTGGCTATGCTGGCACACCGCTTATAAATGAGTGGTCAGGGTGGGACAGGAGGCAGCAGGTAAGATGTTGAATCTTTATCAGCAGCAGGCGGTGGAGATGCTGTGATAAACTCTTCATCTTTTCACAGCCTACAGTGTTGATGGAGACGACAGGAGCTTTGAATAAGCTATATGAAGCCAAGTCAGATACGGGTTTTAGTCTCTGTTGTTTTTGATGTTGTTGGTTCAGTCGGACAAATGCATTTGCTGTACACTGAGCCAAATTAAAATGGAATGGCAACCACACCCACCCGCCCTTTCAGTAGGTGTGAATAAGCCCAATAAAGCCATCACAACATTTGATGTTTTGTGTTTCTCTTATCATTCAGTATTGATGATGAATTAGCTCATCATTTCTGTGGAGTTTAAAGAATTGCTTGATTCAAAGTATATTCAGAAGATTCAGAACCTGAAAATGAGCCACAGAGGATGTATTTAAACAAACTAAAAGGAGCTGAGCAGCCAGGAGCATATCTTCATTCTGTGTGTATCAGCACAATGTGGGACTTCTATGATGGGTTATTAAAGCAGGCCTCACATCTCATTCCAGGGGATCCGTCTAGTTGCTGGTGTTCGAAACTGAAAGCGCTTGAATTCATGCTTCACTGGATGGTGATGCTTCAGGTAACAGACTTAACCTTTGTCTTTGTTAGCATAGGTTTTGGAACTGTGCTAACTGTTTTCCAAACCCAGGCAGGAGCCCATATCAACATTCATTCTTCCTGTTCATACTGGACATTAAAAGGTTTGTTCCTTAAGCTATTTCAATGTAAAGGTGACAAATTCCACACTCCTCTCTCTGTGCAGAAATAGTATTTATAGTACAACTTTCTCTGTTTTTGTTGCTATATTTAACAGCAGTTTAACAGGGAAACACTGTCTATAAAAACACAAAGAGGGGATGTAATACTAGAAAGACTGTTCAGTTGGAATATAGCCACATCATTTGTCGAAGACAGATTGACGAAGCCTCATATTAGCTTAAGCACCGAATTTTGTCCCCCATCACTAACATTTAATCCAAATGAAGAAGACCTTTACAGTATGAAGAGGAGGAATGATTACAGCAAGCAAAAGCTGTGTCGGTGGTCATGTGGATACCTGACCATTGTTTTAAGGCAGACTTGAACCGTTGTGAACTTGTATCTGCACACTAACCTCTTGTTATCTTGTTTCTTTGTCATGTTTAAGCTTGTGACTGTAGCTTTCTCTATCAACACAAACCAGTTTTCTCTTCCCTCCCATCCAACTATAGGACTTCTGATACCAGTACAATGTACTGTGTTTGGTTCAGCTAACTCAACCAACCATGCAGTCTGTCTTGGGAAGTGGGTTGTTTGTAAAAGGCTGCCATATGATTGGTTAAAAATAGCTTTGTTGTGTTGTTATTGAGTTATTGGTACATTGACAATCAATGTAAATTTTCAACAGTGTATCAGTTTGAAAAAATAAGACAATAGATGTGTGTTTGCTTAACATTAATGGCTTTAATTGGTTTGGTGTGTGACGTTGCTTGTGAACCCACTCAGGGATCCATGTAGATACCTAGACACCACTGTGAGAAGCCTCCTGCTGCACACACAATCAAAGAAATCAACAAGACGACATTCATATTACATATGAACGTTCAGCTGAAAGCTGTGATGGTCAAAGCCGAGAGAGGAACCAAGTTACCTGACGTTTTCGTGTCTGTACATGTACATAGTGTTGAACTGCTGCATCTCTTTCTGACTGGGCTCCTTCTTCATGTCCTGAAGCATCTCATCAGCTATGTGCTTTGGAAGGATGGAGAGCAGCAGGCGTTCCTGTAGAGGACAAAGACAGACACAGAGAGGACATCATACACAGCTACTGAAAAGAAACACGGACCATACCACCATCAAAAATCGTACATCCCGTTATAATCACCGATATGAGTTTGATTGATGAAGACTTAATCAGTTGTATGCTCGCTGACCACAGTAAACAAAAGAAATAGATCAACATTTTGGGAAATACAGAGTGAGATGATCAGATGGATATAAATGTTGTGTGTTTTAAGTACAGCGCTGGAGTCAGGATGCGGTTGGCCTAGCATGAGGATAGGACAATGCTGAATCAGCATTCCAACAATTATCAGGTTGCTCTACTTATTAGTGCAAAGCTTTTTGATGTCTCTTTGCAGACTAATATAAAAGTTATCTTGACAGCTATAGGGAAATAGATTTTCTTTCTGACCGATAGTCGACCTTCGTTAACCAATCATTAACTGTTCACCGACAGGATTAGTGCCTTGCATATAGGGTTGCTTTGGTTGAAGTGCCATAACAAGGCGGCCAGCTGCAACAATAACCCAATGTACAATTGTGGTGAATGATGGTTAAATCTATCGTTTATGACCAGCTGCAGTATATACACAAAACAAGCAACTGTCCCCGGATCACCATCCGCCATCCCCTCCCTGAACCTGTGATAGGGCCAAGGCCGATCCGTGATGAGTCTCCACTGGGTCCTTGGCTGATAGGAGATCCCCCACGATGACGTAGTGAACACAGGGCCGACTTCTAATGCCCCTATGGTGCCATATGTGGAACTCAGTTGCAAGGTTTATCTATCCACCAGGTGGAGCAGTGATTACAGAAGTTGAAGTTGTTTACTGCAGGCTGATAACAGCTGTTCATATCATATGTGTGTATGAGGGAGTGTGCTTCCCTCACAGAGCATAGGCTACTTTTACTGTACAGCGTTACGTTTATACACTTGCAAATTAAACCAAAGTAAAAAAACAACAGAAGGCTGCTTTTAAGTTATATTATCTTGAATTTTAGACACGTGTCCAGCTTGCCCTCCATCCAAATATGTACACACATTTACACATCTCTTCAGGTCATTTGGCTTCAATTGGAGGTAGATTATGGATGATGCTTATACTGTATTATTAAATGGTAAATGGACTGTACTTGTATATATCTTTTCTCGTCTCTTGACCACTCAAAGCGCTTTTTTTTTAGTAGGATGTAACCCCAACACCCAGTATGAATAGTTATGTACATCGTCTATAATTTACTATTGCCTATTGTGAACATCTCACCATTTATGACTAACACTGCCAAGTCTTCACCCAGGGAACTTACCGTAAGCTCCTCTGCATGTTTCAGTCGTCACATCTTATTGCACCGTTAACGGACAGAGGAAGAGGGTTCAATTGTTCTAAAGGACCAGAATACTTTTTTTTGGCTTCAGACACTTACAAATGGTAAAGCCGTGGTTTTATTAAAGTTTTTCACAGAACAATCACATACTACAATTTCAATTCAATGAAACAGTCTCAGTGCCACAATAACTAATTCTAACACTCCTACTGTAATAAGTTTTTTTCTATTCTACTTTCACTGATTTGCTGAATAAAGTCCAGCCTCTCTCCTGGAAATATCCCCCTCCTCTCTCTTCTCTGCATGTTTAGCAGGCTCTCACAGTCTGCTCTCTCTGTGAGTTTTTTCTTTTTCCTTTTTTTCATGCTCTCCTTTGATAGCAGAAAGGTCTTCTGTCCCCCTATAAGTGGGTAAGACAGCAGAAGGGTCTTCTTGTCCTCACTTCTTAGATGGTAAGACCCCCAAGTGTCTATTCAAGAAGTCTGTCCCATTCTCTAGTTGGGGAAAAGCCCAAACTCAGTTTCTCTGCTTCTTTTTCTGCTGATAAAAAGCTTGCTCCTCCTTCAGGTTCACGAGTCACTCACACATGAGTCCTCCTTCTTTTAGAGCTGACACAGAATGTAACTGGTTTGATCACGTTCAGAAGAGGAAGGATTATATAAGTTTTGAGTGACTATTTTATATAAGGCATCTTTGCAGTTTATATGGTTAATCACATCTATCAAAAAATAAAGCAAGTTATAGGTTTAATCACTTCTATCATAAATTAAAACAGTTTATATGTTTAATGGTTATACTTTGAATCAAAAAGGCTACAGGTTATAATAGTTATACTTTTATGCTTTCATACTTTTCTACGATCTTTCAACACTACATATAGAAATAAATCCAGTTATATGACATTAAAATAATTACTAGTTTGAACATTGGTGAAAAGTTTGAGTTTTTGTGCATCCTGAAGTTGGTCAAACGTGTTCGAAAAATAAAAAAATGCTCAAAATCCAACATGACAGACTTCCTGTCTGACAAGAACATTTTATGTTAAAGATAAGAGCAATGTTCCCACCAAATTTCATGAATATCAAAGGAACTTTATCCCAAACATGGCGTGCATTTCGGCCATGCCACTGCAGAACTTTGCAATTTTCTCCAGTTCTGAAAGGAGCGCCAAGTTTTGTGAGCTTTCGAGCATCCCAAACCCCTCAAAAATGCAATTGTGCAGATTAATAATAATCTTAACAAAAACAACAGGTTCCTTGCACTTTCAGGGCCATGGACCGTTAAGCTAATAATCCTATCAATTTCAACAGGGCCTCTACGACCCCTGGTCCTAATAAAATCACATATAATCATAAATCCTTGATGAAAGGTGAGGGCCCTATCTGGGGACAAAAAAAGCTGCCTGTCGGTCAGCAGACAAGGAAGCATACAGGATTGCTAGAACAAGACTGAAAGCTGGCATCAAGGAGGCAAAGAAGAGGGGTCAAGAGAGACTGGTGAGAGACTTCAACACCAACAACACTAAATATACAGTATGAGGCAGGACATCCACAATGTCACAGGCTACAAAAACAGGAGCATCCCCATCATGTGTGAGGCCACGTTCACAGATGAGCTGAACACCTTTTGTACTCGCATTGATCTCCTCAACAAAGAGTCAGCTGTCAAGTCTGCCCCACCCCCAGAGGACCGGCCGCCGTCAGTATCCCCAGAGGACCGGCCGCCGTCAGTATCCCCAGAGGACCGGCCGCCGTCAGTATCCCCAGAGGACCGGCTGCCGTCAGTATCCCCAGAGGATGTGAAAGAAACCCTGATGAGTGAATAAGAGTAAAGCTGCTGGGCCTGATAACATCGCTGGTCGTGCCGCTCAAATTGGCAGCCACACCTCCTCCACTCTAGTGTTGAACACTGGAGCCCCAGTGACATGGTCCTCACACATCTCCATCTTGGTGAAGAAAGCTCTGAAATATATATATATGTATTTATGAAGGAAACCATGTTTGGTGGCTGTGACTTTTTTGCTGTGTCATCACTATTCATATTAACACAACCAATGACTTCATGATTGAATTGTTTACAAGCATTGTTTAAGAGCACAACATTGAGCACCAGATTGATGCATTTAACTTTAAAATGTAGCCTCCAAATTGAAGGGTAAGTATTCCTTAAATCTTTTTCAAAAACAAATATAGCAATGTTAGTTTTTTTTTCCAATATCGTGCAGCCCAAATATGAAGGGCTACTTAAATTACTAATGCAATAAAAGTTTGTAAACTGTCAGCAGTTTGATGCAGGCTACTTTCTAATTTGCCAGAACTTGTCATAATGACAAATGCCAGTTTAACCGTGTTTTTATTCAATTTATATCGGACCCACAAAACCGGATTTCAATCAAACTCTACTTGTTATCCCTCTAAGTTGAGAGTGATTTATTTTCTGTCCCTGTACAGAGATAGGTTTAGCCTAGATTAGCACAAATAATAGAAGGGCAGTGCTAGTCTAGCTTTGTGAAATATCAAAGAAATATGAATCGCAAATCTTATTAAATCTTATGTGTTCTTGTTTATATGTATGATTCATCACAAATTTAGTAAAAACTTAAAATGCATCAATGGGGTCATAAATAAATGGAAATGATAGCTCCAATGACACAAACAGTCTGTGTATTGCCAAGTTCATAATTAATTATAGCGAGACTTACCATGAAAAACAGGTTTCAGTTCCTCATACGCAGACAATTTGCAAATCAAACCTGAAAATGTGAGTACCAACTTAACTTTTGCATTTGATTTATGTCCTGATGTTGGCTCAAAACAAATGAAAATGAAATGCAAGTTTGTTTGCATGATGACTGCTGAATAGTGGTGTAACAGATCATGGATTGATCCGTGATCGGTTCGGATCACTTGTAAACTGCAGATCAATTGAGTATTTTCTTTGTTTTTTTACAGTGTAATCATCATAGTGTGTAATAAAGTTGTACTGCTGCTGTTCCTTTTCAAGTAACAAGTCCCTGAATATCAATGCAAAGTGTCAGTGAACAGATATAAAGCAGTAGTGTGTTCACGTGAAAGGAGCGTGTTAGAAGCATTTAACAGTGTAAGTCATGGCGAGCGGAGGAACGGAGAAACTTGAGAAGCTCCCATCGTCATTTAAGTGGCAAGTTTGGAAGCATTTTGTCTTCCCTGTAACTTATAATGACGGGATGAGGGTGGTGCACAAAAGCGTTACGGTATGTAGGCGTTGTCTAAAGAGAAAGACATACGACAACGGCAAAACATCGGGCATGTCCACACATATGAAGTGCCACCATCCCGGTCTGTCAGCGACGGATTTAAAAATCTGGTTAAAGTGCTTGAGCCAAGCTACTAAATCCCCTAACGCACCCACTTCAGTATGAAGGTCGTTCCAGGCCTCTATGAAAAGGAAAAGACTGACCGCTCACTTCATCACGGTGGAATGGGAGGTTCATGGTCGGACTCGCACCTCTGTGAGACACACAGACACACACCTGGTTCAGGTGCTGACAGAAGCAGTAGAGTGGAAGCTAGACAGGCCCAATAGTAATATCCCAGTCACCACAGAAAGGTCTACCCTCTCCCCAGACAATGGAGATATTCTCATCTTTTTGAAAACAAATTTAAAGTTGTAGACTATTTCACAGTAATGGTAAACATTATTGCAGTGTATTTGAATGACATAACCTCACAGGAAGTAAACAGACCCAAACATAGACCCAAGTTGTTGCCGAGCAGTTCAGTTCAGTTGAAACAGTGGAAGCTAGCTCCAGTCTGCTCTGCTTTCTTTCTTTTTTGATGCAGTTTTCTTTCAACATTGATCAAAGGACGAGGGCATCAACATACCTCATGCTGCACTTAAACTTAACAGAATTGAGTATTATTGAATGTTTTATTTTTATTTGTTATTTATTTCATTTTGTTTCAAATTGGACATCTTCAATATTTGTGTTTTTATGTAAGACTATAGCCCAAAGTTATTTTCTTTAAGTGTTCTTGAAGTTCTTTAATTAATAAATGGAAAGCAAAGTTATATTTGACTCCTCCCCTTTTATTTGATCCGAAAAATGATCCGAACCGTGACTCAAGAACCGTGAACCGAACCGAACCTTAAGGTTTGTGATCCGTTGCACCCCTACTGCTGAATAATGACCGCTTGATCATCATCACTTATCAAAAACCCCTGATCTGAAAAATCCAACTCTACTTTGAGATGACACTGATATGGATCTTGTGTTCTGACTGTGGGCACAAGTATATTACCCCAGCAGTGAAACGGTTCCCTTAAACTCACGTATTAACACCAGAATGTTGTACGGTTTGTCCTCTGACCTGTTGCTGGCTCTGCTCCTCCAGGTTGAGTTTGACCTCCAGTGACTGTCTCGCCTCCAGAAAGGCCTTTCGATGTTTCCGGTCAGCCATGTAGTACGACATGACGCCCACAGTGATGGCACAAACATAGATCACTACGTTGGCTAGCAGCTTGAAAGAAAAAGAATGCAACAGTTAGGGCTCAATATTGAATGAACACATGTACAATACGGGCTTAATATGGCAGAAAGTTCAGCTTCAGGTTTAGCTTTAAAGATGACATATTATGCAGAATACACTTTATTTCAAATGTGTCCCTGTTGTGTCTAGAGAACTAGAAGTGTGACAAAATATGATTCTTTATCTTTTCCTCCTGCTCCATCTATCAGAAGACATGAGTAACAACGAGCTAGTCAGACTTGCTGCTGGATATGCTGCTGTGCTACAGAACCACCTCTAGCTAGGTGACCATACCCTGACAATCTAATCATAGAGATTTCTTTGCTATGGCGGACCTAGTCACACGGTACCAGTAAGTGGATTAACGTCATTGTGTTCACAAGACCTGGAAGAGTCTTTCTCAAGGAGGGTCAGCAGACAGCAGGGTTCCTTTCAAAACTGAAGCTCAAGGATCGATACAGACTGTGACCATACTTCAAACTTGGAAACTGTAGGTTTTCGCCACGTTTGTTGTTTTACTGCTTTTCCAGGTTAGCCTGTTCAAGTAAACCTGAGTGTTACATGGCTAATGCAGCTAGTTCATTTGTAGGCCCGCAGCTCAGAGCAATGTTGGAGGAACAGTTATATTTGAACCCTGTTAAATAACCACAGTAGTAGGTTGGATGTGTTTAACGTTAACTGTTCTTTGATGTTGCTTTTGTGAAATGTTATACTGCAACAATCTTCTGTGTTACATGAAGGCGTCTTCTGCTCCATGCTCCTCGCTGCTATGTGTGTGCGTAGCTACTGTATTGTGTGTATGCAGATTTACTTGATAGAATGCCCTGAAGGTACATGTGAAAAAATAATGGCCAAACTGAAGGAATTTCAGAAACAGTAAATCATTTGCTTGGCAATGTTGTGTAACTTTGATTAACGTTAGCACCCAGACGCTAACGTGCTAAGGCCCAAAAGCTGTCGTGGCCTGGACAGTGCGTGTGCAAAGCTACGCCGAGGCCAACACCACACATTACTGTAATACTGGTGTCATTGACACACTATTGCCGCTTGCAGTTCCAGTGTAACATATTGGACTACCGTCTACAGCCCCCGGTCTCTGCTGTTGTAGTCATGTAGTCTTGCATTGCTGTTGCACCATGAACTTGTACTGAATTTACAAGCTTTTGGTCACAACACAAGTGACACTCTAAAGCAGGGGTCACTAATAGGCGGACCGCGGTCCGGATCTGGACCCAGACGCCGTTATATCCGGACCCTCGACCTAAAACCGATACTGAGAATTGTTATATTTTGATGTAGTGCTTCTATTTTAACCGGTGCAGCTTTTTCAGCCGTTACTGCAATTGTTCAGCGGTCCAGGAAACACACCGACCAATCACATGCGTTGTAAATCGCATCACGTGATGCTGCTCAGCCAATCAAATATGTGTATTCTGATAAACTTTCCGACTCGAGTGAGATTTACACACACGGGGAAGAGACGAGGAAAGAGAAGGAAGAGCAGGAGAATAATTATGTGAATCAGAGAAGTTATTTCACATGACGTGCTCCAAAAGAGAAGAGTGGTCAGAGAGACCAGAGTCTTTAACCAATAATGAACAGACTCTTATAGGATCATTCTTCCTACGGGCAGTTTAAAACCAGGATGTCTCATATGTTCAGAGACCGTGATGATTAAACGTACCCACTCACATCTGAAATGAAGTCACAGATAATAAATCTAAGAGTGTACACACACACACACACACACACACACACACACACACACACACACACACACACACACACACACACACACACACACACACACACACACACA